TCGTAGGAGGATGATTGAAGAATTAATTTTCTTTTGTCTACTATCTTTGAAATTTTGATTTCTATGTATAATCTTAAACTGCTAGTTATATATTTTTTGTTATGGTATAAGCATATAGTAGTATAACTAGATGTAAATATGGATGGAATTAACTGATGATTAAAACTGAATATAAATTTCATCAGTTATGGCACTGTTTGGAGAAGTAAATTGTATACTTTTGTTTTGTCATTTAACGGACTGAAATTAGGATTTTTGTTTAATACTGTTTTAATTATATTTAGACAGTTTTATAAGCATAGTAAATTCTTGGAATTATCTATGTGTGGTTGGAAGTAAATTGATATAACAGTTCAGTTAATTTTATCAATTAGTGGATTTGATGCATGATGTAAATGCTATGTTTCATAATTAGCAAATTTAATGGTTGGAATATAATTTCTAGGCCTGAACTGAATGCCTAAGTATTATATTTATGGATTAATTTGGTTTGTGCATATTTTGGGAGTTGGGTTGATGACTATCTAGTATTGTTTTATCAACTCTGTTAACTGGAGGATGGTATGTACCGGTATGGGACGGTGACATACTAGGTATGGACTAGTTCAGACACTAGGCCTACCTAAATTTGGATTAAGGTATGGATTAATCATAAAGGTTAAGTCCATCACCTACATGTGTCATATCAATTGTGAATTGAATAACCTACTATGTTTCAGGATGGATTTGTTATACATATATCAGACCACTTCACAGATGGATGGTATACTGTATTAGGAGGAGTACGGACTTTATATATATATTATATGGTGCCGTGGTATGAGCTTGAGTCTCATGACCATGGTTAGAGCGCGTATATCGCCTGAGATGGATAACTGGACATAGGTGTGTTCCCTGGTAGGTCTAGGTACTCATGCCCACCTTAGGGTGCGTATTCGCATGTTGCCTTCTATTCAGGCTGAGACAGACCTACTGGACTAGCGAACGTCCTATAGGGTGTACTATATACTTATATGGACTACTCTAGATATTGTTGAGTCTTCTTATGATGTATCTGCATATCAGATTACTATTTGGATTGTAGTAGATCAGGACTTGCATGTGGGCCTGACCCACTTCTTTATTTTTCAGATGTTCGTTAGTTCCAGGGTTAGAGCTTGGACATGTAGAGCAGATACAGATATTCATTCCTTCGACTATGTAAGAATCTTCTTTATGTTAACTTTAGACTTTATTTCTATTATTTCAGTTTTGGTTTAAGAATCTTTAATAAGGGGTCCAATGGATGGATTCCCAAGTTGTAAACCTACGGAGTTTGGATTTAACGGATTTCAATAATTATATTATTTTGAGGATTTTCAATTAGCATTCTTTCAGCTTATTATTATTTTTTCTTATTTTATCTTGTATTTTGTGTTCGGTTACATATAAATTATTTGATATCCCTCGGGTTTGGGCCTGGGCCTGATCAACCCGTGTCTCGGATCCGAGGGGTATCACACTTCGTCTCTTTTGCCATGCTGATATCACATCCATATCCATCCTCAAGTTAGCCCTGGATCTTTTCTCCTCACTTTCTGGACTAACCATAAACCCAACAAAAAGTTCAGTCTTCTTTTCAGGCATTGACCACACAAATGAGCTTTTCTACTCTAATTTTCTTGGTGTTGGAATTGGCTTTCTCCCCATAAAGCACCTTGGTGTTCCTCTCATTTTTACAAGACTCAAAGTTGCAGATTGTAACATTTTGATTAAGAAAATCACAGCAAGAATTCACCATTGGTCCTATAAAAGCCTCTCATATGCTGGAAGACTTGTTCTCATCAAATCTGTGCTTGTATCCACATAACTGTGCTTGTATCCACACAACTGTACTGGTCTAGTATCTTCATACTGCCACAGAAGGTAATTAACGAGCTCACTGCACTACTTAGAAGATTTATATGGACTGGTCCAGACCTTAAGAAGACTGGTGCTAGGGTAAAATGGTGCAATGTTTATAAGTCTGTCACCAATGGAGGTCTAGGTCTTCCCAACCTTGAAGCCGCAAACAGAGCTGCAATCCTTAAACACATTTGGGAGCTTAAAACAGGTAGCAATCAAAGAATTTGGATTCTCTGGTGCAAGACTTATCTTATCAAGGATCAATGTTTTTGGGCACTCAAAATTCCACAATTATGCTCTTAGAGTTGGAGGAAGATACTACAACTGAGACCACTTACAAGGAAACTAATCAAGCACATGGTAGGCAATGGAGAATCCACCCACTCCTGGTATGATTTTTGGCTTGACAGGGGTCCCCTCTCCCTAAACTATCCCTCCTCCATCATCCAATTAGCAGATATCTCATCCAATGCAATGGTAGGAGACTTTATCAATGGTACTTCATGGAGCTTCCCTCCCACACTCAACTCCACCCTCCCTAAACTAAACAACATCCAACCTCCTAATCCCTTAACACCAGACCAATTCATTTGGACAACATGACCCACAGGGAAATACAGCCTTAAACATAACATAGCAACCATTTCCCAATCCCATAACCCAGCACCTTGGTCCAGGTTAGTTTGGAACTCCATTGCCATTCCTAAGCAAAAACTGATTTTGTGGATTACAGTCCAATCTAAACTTCCCACTCTAGACTCCAAATGCATGTCTTACCTTGAATCACCCAATGTATGCCATCTTTGCTCATCCCTTCCTGAATCACATTCCCATCTATTCTTTAATTGTGAATTCGTCTCCACTATTTGGAGGTTTATTCAAGACAAGTGCATGTTTTACACAAGAAGCAGTAATTGGCCGCAATTTGTTACTTGGGCTACGCATCACTGGAATCAATCTAATCCCAGAACCCATATGTGTCGACTAGCCTTAGCCTCTATGGTGTATCATATTTGGTAGGAAAATGAACAACAGGGTATTTAGAACTTCCTCTTCTTCACAATCATCAGTCTTGAAGCTCATATGTAATTCAATTGCAGATGCCTTTAGATCCCACAATAATGAAAACTTCTCTCAATTAGCTATAAAATGGGTCTACTCTCCAGCTGCAGTTTGTCCGCCACTTCCCCCTGACTTGTAGGAAGAGGCCAAGTCTCAGTTTAGCTGTAACCAGTCTTGTTACCAGAATTTGTTGTTGTTGGATTTGTTCGGACATCCATTCCTGACAGCTACAGTTGTTATCAATGGCTGTCTCTCTCAATTTGTTGGGCTTTTTCTAGCTCTTGATTTCTCCAATGCTCAGTTTGGGTTTGGGTTTGTGCTGCATCTTTTTTTCGGGCCTTTCTTAGGCCCATCTGTATATCTTATTTTTAATCAATATATTTGCTTTATCGTTCAAGGAAAAAAAAAAAAAAAAAAAAAGGAATACATGAAGGTCCTATATATATATATATATAAGAAAATTTGGAGACTAGGTATGTGGAGGTATACATGAGACTGGGTAGGTGTTGGTACAGGTGTGTAAACATTCATTTGTAAGTAAAAGATATTATAGTATTTATATATATATATATATAATTTTTTTTTTATTTAAAAAAATCCTATGAAACCAACTTAAGTTTGAAAATGAAATCATAAAAACAACGGTGGAGTGTAAAGACTACATGAGGCACATTAAACTGCGGTGGCGTATGGGTGACGAATTTGTAAAGATTCACCACGATGATAATGCTTTGGGAAAGGCACGATGACCACTGATGGCGTCGTCACGCGGTGACAGAGTTGTGAAGATCCGATACATTAAGGAACGCGTGAGTGCGTGATGACCATTGATGGCGCGTAACGGCGCCGTGAGGGAGCTGATCAGACATGTTAAGGTGTAGGATTACTGTTGTTGCGCGTGGAAGGAAAAATGCAATTACCATTTGAGGTGCATGGTGACGCGGTGACGGAGCTATGAAGATCTGGCACATTGAGGCGCGTGTGAGCGCATAATGACCAGTGATGGCGCGTGGCGCGTAGTGAGGGATTACCGCTATTGCTTGTGGAAACATACGGAAGAGCGGGATTACTATTTGAGGTGCATGATGTGCGGTGACGAAGCTGATTCGAAACATTTAGCATCTCTGAACGAGACATCTCGTTGGGTTCCTAAACAACGAGGCTTCCTTATACAAGGCATCCTTAGGTGGGGCTTCTCTAAACGAGGTAACTCATTGGTTCCCTAGAGGAATAATTAAACAATGAGGCTTCCTGGACGGGGCATATGAAGGCGTGTAGAAGCGTGAGTTTGCCAGTTGACTGCCGCGGGGGATGGGGTTGATGGTGTCATCCCCGCGGTGAAACTAATAAACTGTTTACCAGCGCTGGGATGGGCTTGATGGTGTCATAATTGATAAACTGTTTACAACAAATACCATGTTATATGTGGTAAATAGGTATGTGGAGTATACATGGTAACTGAGTAGTTGTGTAAACCTTAATTTATAAGTAAGAGATATTATAATATTTTTATAATCTAACAAATTAAATGAGCAAAAAAATAAAGCTCAAACTTTCCTTGTTTATTTGATATACAAAATTGTCTATACACTCTTGAGCCCCATAAAAAAACTAAAAAAAAAGCTTCAAATGTTTATTTCTAATGTGTTTTCAAAATAAGTTGTACGTATTTATTTCAACATTTAAAAAATTGCTCTTCGTTTCAAAAATGTTTACTCCCTCCGTCCCACATTAAAAGTCCATTTATAGAAATTGGAGTTTTTAAGGGGACATGCATTTAATGCATTGTCCCCTTTTAATATTACCAACTTGTCTCTTCTAATTTAAATATATATAGTTACAAAATTTGAAATTTTTTAAAATGATAAAAAGACAATAATAGAAATATAGAATTTAATTGTTTTGACCTTTTAAAGGGACAATAAATTTGAAATATGTAAAAAAAATTATTGAATTATTAATATGGGACAAAGGAATACTATTTTTTATTTTTGTTTGTGTGCGCGCGTGTGCGTGTGTTGTGGTTTTTGTTGAATAGGGCAAGCACATGCAAAGTGATACGAGAATGTCCTTAAATTGAAGTCCCAAGTGAACGCTTATTCTGGTGGCAAAATACCCTCCGTCTCCATCAACGTGATAATAGCGCCGTTGCTGAAACCCTAGTTCTTCTAAAACAATAGAGAGGATGGCCGGAGGCAACCATCACAAGGGCTCATCCCATAAGCCTTCTTCTTCTTCATCTCATCGGAAATCCCGGTGGGAGTCTGGCAATAATACTCCTGCCGACGAAAAACCCTCCGCCGGCAGCGATTCCAAGCCACCACCCAAATCCTCCTCAAACCCTAAAGCCAACCCAACCTCCAAACCTGGTCCCTCCCCTAGCCCCAGCCAACCCAAGCCGCCAGCCGATCCGGTTCCTCACCCAGGATTCGGCCCGACGTCTTCCGGATCTCCGTTCCGTTTCCCGTTCCCGGACGGTCTAGGGCCACCACCACCACCAGCATATGGGTTTCACATGCTCGAACGAAGGACCGTCGCCCTCGCTGACGGTAGCGTCAGATCTTACTTCGCTCTGCCGCCCGATTATCAAGACTTCACTCCTCCGACACGGCCGATGGACCCTTCCGGTCGAATGTTGCCTCACGGTCAGGAGTTAGGGTTCGATAAGCGATTTCCTCCTGCTGGGCCGATGAGTCCCGAATTCCGCGATCGTGAGCGCGAGGATCTATTCATGCGCGCTCGAAACCAAGATTATTGGAATTCTCTCGGCCCTGAAAATTTGCTAAAGAGGAAGTTTGGAGAGGAGGGTGAAAGGGGTCGGAGAGAAGAGAGGGAAGCAAAGGACGATTTTGTGAGACAACGGCAGCAGCTTTTGCAGTATGGGAATGCAGGCTTGAATCCGAGTGGGTTTCCTGGCGAAAGGGGTGATTTTATGGCGGGAACAAGTAGGGACTTGGCAGATATGGCTAGGGGTGACGAATTGAGAGCAGCGAAGTCTATGAGAATTGGTGGTGATTATGACAGTTTTCGCAGGCAAGGTGGTGTTGGTGGTGACAACGTGGGTCTGAAGCATAGTGCGGTTGATCAGGGTGCCTTGAAGAAGGCATTTTTGCATTTTGCGAAGTTGGTTAATGAGAGTGCGAATCAGAGGCGGAACTACTTGGAGGATGGAAAGCTGGGACCTCTTCAATGTGTTGCCTGCGGCAGGTTTGATAAAATTGGGTCAGACATGCATGTTTCTTTAGATACACATATATACACACTTACATATAGAATTTTGTTTGCCCTCGGGATTGTGTTGCTAATCATTTGCAATGCTACTTGGACTTTAAGTTATAAATACTGGGTTTGTGTCTAGGTGCTGATGTTTGACACAAACTTTTAGGGGACACTATTTTATTTATTTATTTTTTTGAAAAGTTTTAGGACACAGAGACGCTGAGCTGAAACTTTGAAGTTCGAGGTTTTGATACTCTGCTTCTTGGATAAAAATAAAGTTTCTACCTAAGATATCATGTTTGATATTAGTACATTATTCCTAAAAAAATAGAGAAGCTTTTTAGGCAATTTCTTGTAAAGTAAGTGTTGAAGTCAGGTTCCAGATAGATTATGAGTTAGTTTTACATCTGTTAGGAGTACATAGAGAAGGGTCTGAGTGGAGGCAAGCTAGCACAGAGGACACGCTCCTTAGGTAGGGGAGATAGGAAGAGAAGACAAGCTTGCTTAATACCCTTATAGTGAGTTCGAGTGTCTTTTTCTCTTCACTTCTTGTGCTTAATTACTAGGTATCAAGCTTTCTCCCTCCTTTGTGTAGCTCCTGGGCGTTGCCCTTGGCACCGATGACATCAACGGTGACCTCCCTTTGGGCAATTCTTGGAACTCAGCCAACCACCCAATACCTCTCAGACTCCTGAATTTGTAGTAAAGGGGGATGGGTAATTGGCCAGACCTTGCCTTCTGTGGTCCCAGTCATTCAAATCCCCTCCCCTCGATCGAGCTTCCCCGGTGGTCACTCGTCATTGTTATGGGCTTAATCCGTAGGGAGGAATTTCCCGAGCATCTTAAACACTTCAGGGCTTATCTGCAGAGAGGAGTATCTTGAAGGAGCGCAGAGCCACAGAAGGAGGCCCAGACAATGGCATAGGGGCCTCTATGCAAGAGTTGAGTAGTGTAATGAGGTTTTTTGTTAGAGAGGAGGCCCTTGACTTATAATGATACTATGGTGATAGGGGGCGCCCAACGTTGCACAACCCTCTACGGTTATCATATCTGACAATTATGTGTTGTTATAAAAAATTCCAGTGGACAAGGTAGATCCCTAGATGCTTCTTTCTTCCTTTTCTGACATTACCAGAACATTCTGGATAGGTGTTCAAGTACCTTGTCACTTGTGTCCTTTGTATTCAATTAGTCAGACTTAGAGATCTTTAGAAGTGTGTTATGATGTAGTTTGTATAGTGACTTTAGGAAGGTATGCGTATAAAGATGCTTTTGCTCTAAAGCTTTTTAGTAATAGTCCTAAAGAATTCCCGAGGGTCTTGAAGTAGAGACAAACATATTAGTCCATAGGTGGGTATAAAGTGGGGGGAATACTGATAAGAGATTCAGAGTTGATGAGGTATTACCAAGTTTGAATTGCAATATATTTGAAACCTGATCATTTTGATTTTATTGAATTTAAACACTGTATGTTAGTAGTTTTTATTTCTTAGTCAAAGCGCAAAGCTGATCTAGAAATACTCGGTTTGATGACGATGATCAAATTCTATTATAGTACCGTGAAACTTGGTTGATGTTTTCCTTTTTTTTTTTATTTTATATATATGCCGAGGAGCAATTATCGAGTAACATTTCATTTTCTTCTCAACGAGGCAGAAATTGTGCTGAGTTTTACATTTTATGCAAGTGCAATAAATAGCAAAAAGATTTTTTTTTGGAGGGTGGAGGGGGTGGCGTGGAATTGTTGAAGGTTTCCTTTACCAAAATAGATGGTGCCTTCCATTCACTTCTATTTTATTTGCTGATTTGGAGTCTTGTTTTTTCCGGGTTGCAAGGTCGGTAGGTTACTATTCTCAATAAAGCTCTTTTAGTTCCGCTTTTCCAAATTAGGTGCAACCACCGTGTGTGGTGATCTTAGCTTTATTTATGGATGGTGGCACCATATGTAATTGCAGATTGAGTGGCTGTATACTATGTTATGTGGACTGGGTATGTGTATATAGTATGGGTATGTATTCATGCATTAGACGTGTTGAATCTCTAAACAAAGGGACACACGGACACTGCTAAATATTCATTTGATTTTCTAGAGTAAAGTAATGTTTTTATCTAATATAGTGTTCAATATAATATAGGCTTTTAACTCATTTTAAAGTAATAATACAATATAATTGAATGATTGGATATGCTTTTTAAGTACATGTCCAAGTAAAAGTGTGGGACACATACTTATCAAAAAAAAAAAAAGTGTCGGACACATACTTATCAAAAAAAAAAGTGTCGGATACATATCCCATACCCACGTCCAAGCAATATGTGTCCGACATGGGTACTTCACGATTTTTGAAGAGTCCATGTAACATAGGCTGTAGACATAGAATAATGGCATACATGTTAAGCTTTCTGCAAGCGTATTTTAATATTAAACTAGTTACACGGCTCATGTTGTGTACGTGTTTAATAATAAACTGCTCATGATTGGGTTGACATGTATATCAGAATACACTTGTCTCAACACTGGCACGACCTGTTAACATGATTTTCCATCCTTACATACAGTTTGGAAATTGTAATGAACATGCAAATATAGTAACTGTAGTGAACCTGGCTTTAGTTGCAGTATCACTTGAAATTGAATGGATATATTGTGGGTTTTATAAATATTATTATGTACCACTATAGATGCACCTTTCTTTATTGGACCATTACATTGAAACATGCTGCATGTTCACTATCATTACACCTCTAGACATTATGAAGATGAAAGAGGAAATGAATTGATAGAAATTATCAACTACTTTACATGTACACCTTTATTTGATTGGATGATTATTTAGTTGTTGCTTTCCATTTATGATCTGCCCTTACATCTATTGAACTTCTCATAGCTGTGAGGAGGAATGAATGTATTACAAAATTTATTGAACATGGGTTTTTTTTAATCATGTTTTGAAATTAGAATTTGCAATCTAAATTTTAAGATATTGGGATTTGTTTGGTGAAAGATTGAAGGAGGATTTCCTTTATGAGAGTAACCATGTACATGCATATGGTTGCTTACATGTGCATTTGCTATAGATGCAATTTGATTAGAGGAACTCTTGAGCGTCCCTTGAAAATATGGCGCCTGCTGCTTACTCATAAAGGGGAAGATGAACTAATTTGATTGGTTTTGATTGATGAGATTATTCCCATTGAGGTTGTCAAAATTACGGTAAATGATTGTGTGCAAATTTTAGAAGAAGGGTTTCCATTTTCTATCATAGTATAACGTGCTCTAAGATTATTGCTAAATTTCATACAAACTTTGTTTTTGAGCCATTCATTTAATGTTTTTGTCATGTGGAAGGTGATTGCTAGGAAGTATTCATTATAGTTGCTCAACTTGCTCCCATCTGTCTTTGTGGTGCAGCTTTTCCCCGTAAGCAGGTGTCACGCCATGTCATTGATTTACAGTAAATTTTGTTAAGCTCTTGTTTGTGTAGGGAGAAGGAAGATTACACAAGAAAGATAGAAGGATTCAGAAGATGGAGCAAATGATTTTTTAAAATAGATCTTCCACGAATTATGAGTATTAGGCATCATCCTTGACCTTGGGAAGTGGAATAATCTAGGGTATTTTATGCTGGAAGAATATGAGTTAGTTAACCAGTTGTGGATGCAGTTGTTCAAGAGTGGTGAACAAAATGCAATTTGGTGACACTGGGCTGGCACAGCGTTAACCTGTGTATGCGCAATTGTATTCTATATTACATTGAGTCCTTTAAATATGCACCTAACATGTATGGTAGAATATGCACCTAGCAAGCTCATCAAAATAACTCTCTTATTATGTTATTTTCCCCCCGGTTACATTATTGCTTGAAAACGAGTTAAGTGACACTTGATGTTTCGTATAATTATCATTTTACACCATGCAGTAAAAGAAGATTATAAAAAATGGAATATTTAGTTCTGTCGTTGAATTTGATGCTTAGATACATAAATCTGATGCTTAGATACATATACTTGGACCTGGCACTGATATATCCAAGTCCATGTAACCTAGGTTACTTGTATCATGTATGGTCAACTTGCAGAGATTTTTTTAAAGGTGTGTTGGTCTAGTGTTTTTCTTAGTGTTGCGGGACCAAATTGACCTGAAGGTCGAGTCTCTAAAATTTAGTTTGGTAATGAACAAAGCAGCTTTAATGAGCTTGGCTCAGGTAGATTGGCTGAGCACTAATGGGTCAATGGCTTTAGAAAGTAGTGGTTCTGTGTCCATTTACTGCTTCCTAAATCTTCTTTTGGTTTGTGTGCTCGATAGATGGATAATGGTTATCACCTATCTTTAGGTGCACTAGCCAAATTTTACAAATTGTCATGTGGCTAACTTTATAGAGGGGAAAGTTAATTTGACTAGAGAAGAAGACCAATTTTCTGTAAACCCACTTGTGATTCGCTTGGCCTTGAAGTTACCATTCTCCATGGACTGAATTTCGTTGGTTCCTTATGCTAGTGAGCTTGTACTTGGTTTTGTTTCAAGTAGTTGTCGCATTTTCTATTATATATATATATATATATGTATATATATATACGTTTTTTTTTCTCATCCATGGGCCATGACCTTATTTTTCTTTTTCTTATTCCTTTTTTATCTTTTTGGGAACAGTTGTCAGCTTGTGGATTGTGATATGAGATTCATGTATGCAATTGTAAAGTTTCATTTAAAACTTGGAATTTAATTAGTTTACCGTCATTCAGCTGATTAGGCTTATTGAGGATGATCTTGATTTGAATATCTTGCCAAAATTCATTCACTTCTGTTTGTAAATGCAATTCTGGTTGCGCACATACATTGTTTAGTATTTCTCTCTCCTATTCCTGGGCTTGTTGGACATAAGATGCACCCAACTATCCCGTATTTGTTTGGAAAATGTAATATGCTAACAATTCAGAAGAGCGATATATAGTTTTCTAACACCTTTGGTTTTTAGGATTGTTTGAAAGACTAAACTACCTTTCTAATCATGTGTTGGGTTTTGAAGTGAACTTGGTTGAGTTGACACTCTTAAATAATTATACTTTATGGCTTGCGTGTTGTAGTATCTTTTCTTGTGATCTGGATGTTTATCTTATATTGACGGGAGATTTAACTCATTCAATGCATGTTTAAGTTCTGCATCATTGTGCATACTGTTCCAGCCCAGTCAAATCTTTGTGGGTTCGGTTTGCATGGATGGTGGAACCATTCCAAGAGAACAAAATGAGACTTTTTATTGTGATAGAAACTTTACTGAGTAGCTGTTTTACCTTTAAATTATTGGTTTTCTTGAACTTTGTTTCTTCAATTTTGTTGCAATGTGTCCAATACAATGCAATTTGATGTTTTGGAAAGTTCTAACGCGTTGTCTTTTGTATTTAAGATAGTGATGGAATTTAAAGCAGAAGACACTATAAATTTGAAGGATTTTGGGCTATAATATACTTCTAAAAAAAAAAAAAAAAAGTAACTTGGGGGGTACATACATGTTACTTTAACCAGGGAGTTCCTCTACCAAAAAGCATTGGCCCACCGTTTGGTGTAATAGTATTAATGAAATGATAATAATTTGTTTTGTATATTCTTTTGCACAAGACCTTATGTTCATATTGGATGATATCACCTTTTGTATTATGTGTAAGCTCTGATATTGGTACTAGTCAACTCACGTGATGAGTTGGGTTGTTACTTGGTTGCAATTCTAATTTAGTATGACACAAATTTTTCTGAAGTATTTACCTTGATCCAAAGAAAATCCCTCTGTTACGTATGTAACTTGATTGTTTGTTAATTTGATTTGGCTAAACAAACATAAATGGAACGTGAAATTCTTGCGTAGTCTACTTCCCTTCTAATAATGGATCCCCTTAATCAAATTTAGAATACCTTAATTAAAAGGTGTATAAACAAGGTTCAAGACTACCGGTCTATTAGGATTGCCTCAGCTGCATACGTCACTGCACTTCCACTTCACACCTAAAGTATTGAGATGTTTCAGTTTGCCAGGTTGTCCCTTACCTGCCCATGGATTCAGCTGCAATTTGAAAGGTTGATCTATTCAAGAATCTCCGGATCTATGTAAAGAGGAAGACACTAGAAATTTGAAGGATTTTGGCCTATAGCTAGGGGTATATACTTATTTTTTTTTTTAAAAAAAAAAAAAAAAAAACCTTGTGGGTATATAAATGTTACTTGAACCAGGGAATTCCTTGACTGAAAGCATTGGCCCACCGTTTGGCGTTATGGTATTAATGAAATGTTACATGTTAATTGAACCGGGGAGTTCCTTGACCGAAAAGCGTTGGCCCACCGTTTGGTGTTATAGTATTAATGAAATGATAATAATTTGTTTTGTATATTCTTCCGCACAATACCTTATGTTCAATCGGATGGATGATATCACCTTTTGTATTGTGTGTCCCATATTGGTACTAGTCAACTTGCGTGATGAGTTGGGTAGTTACTTCGTTGCAAATCTAATTTAGTATGACATGATTTTCTCATTCGTTCCATTTCCTTGGCATGTATGCTATTTTTTTTTCTCTGTTAGCTTGCTTTTTTTTTTTTTGTGTGGATGAGATTCGTTCCGCTAATGTTTGTTTCATCATAATTAAGTTTGCAAATCATTTGCAAAAGCTAACCTTCAGCTTGCAACAGAAGGGAGTGGTGGCCCTTCTGTTGGTAGCGTTATTGTGCATTGGTTCAATTTCTTGTTTGATCCTTATTTATGTTTTAAATTTTTATAGATTTATTAGTTTGGCAACTATGATAAGGTCATACATAATTATGCCAGTCAGATACTACGTAGAAATTACTTGTCAAAAAAAAAAAAAAAAAGATACTACGTAGAAATTACTAAATAGAGAGATTTTTGTTTTTTTAAAATATTCTTTCACATTGTTTAGTACCATACTTATTCTTTATGCCAAAGTGGTTGTCTTATAACCATTTTTGTCAGGCTCTTTGAGTTCCTGTTACTTACACCTTTTTGCTGGTTACTTTTTTTATCAGCTTGTTCTCATGCATGCAGAGCTGCTTTGACTTACGACATATCTATGTTAGGCATCTGTTGTTGCTTTTGTCTTGTTAATCATAGTTTCTCCCTCTTTTGTTATAATTTTGTTTTTAATTATGTATTGCATTAATGGCAAAAAATAGATCCATTAACAAATTATAATATAAAGAACTTCCCTATCCAATTCGTTTTGTGACCGAAATATGATATACAAGATTCGGGTACTTTTTTAAGTTCGTATAATTGGTAAGATTGTTAGTTTCTAAAAGTTTTTGAGTTAGACGAGAGTGTATCTTTGTACAGTTTTTTTGTATATTTTGTGAATGCATGGGTTTACTTGCTTATGGATTTCTGATGCAATTTTTACTTTAAAAGAGAAGGATTAACCATACTCAATCATGTGAATGCATGGGTTTACTTGGTTATGGATTTCTGATGCAAGTTTTACTTTAAAAGAGACGGATTAACCATACTCAATCATGGGTTGTCAAATTCCTCAATATGACTGATTTCTTTTGTGTTTTAGTCTAGAATTTCAATCCCATTTAGGTTTTGGTTCTGATTTTAGGGTTCATTAGATATCGCTTTTTGCATGTAGGTATATTTGGCTGAAAATGTTCTGGTTATATGGTACTGGCAATATCATTTCTTTCTCTCTCTCTTCTTTGTTTTTCTTCTATGGGGAGTGGTTGGAATGCTAAACACCACATATTAGCATGAACTGATGCGAATTGGGATAGTGTAATCCGTTTGCATGGTCTTCGTAGGAAGTAGCTCATAAGCCTCATATGCTTTACCCGGGTATACTCTGATTCTGACATGATTTGTTGAAGCCCTCTTGATCATCATCATCATCCTTTCCTTTATACCGACAAACGGGGTCGGCCTCATGGATTCTCTTTTTCCACTATTTTCTATCATAAGCCATATCTTCCACTAGATTTAATTTTTTTTAATAATTTCTTATCACTTTATTCCATTTTAGTTTTGGTTGACCTCCTTTGTCTTTACCCTCTATGTAAATCAATCTTCCTCTCCTCACGGGTGCATCTGTAGGCTTTGTTATTGAAGCCCTCTTGACAATGGTTAGTTATTGTAGTAAGGTTTACTTCTGCCTTTAGCTATTGTTGTAAGGTTTACTACTTTTACTTTTTTCTTTAAGATGAAGGAGAAGGCCATTAAAGCACTTTGTTGGCTCAATGCCCTCCACCAGTACTATGTATTAGCTCAAACCAGTAGTTCATTAGCTTGAACAGCTGTTTGAGTAACACTGACAGCAGCTTTCCCTTGTCAGCAGCTCCTACAGAACCATTCGGTTGTCTCACTCTGCGAACCATTGTTCTGAATGGTGATAATGATAATAGTTCCTTTGATATTGGAAATGAACTCCTATTGTAGTAGAATGCTCCTTAGTTTTTATGTCAACCCATTGTTGCTTGTTGGGTTCGAAATTTTGTTTTGAGTGTGTTGGATGTCCTACAGTCTTTTACCATAAATTTAATGTTTCTTGCTGTATTATTAAAATGCCCGAACTGCCAAGCATGATAATGTGATTACAAGTACAGGAGCAGTCACTTATGAACAAATAATGTTATATATATGTCTATACCCAGTTCACCCTCCTAGCCCTCCCATCAATGGGATCAATACTGAACAAATGGCCTTTATCCATAAATTTGGAAGGCGAAATTGATCCTTATTGGAATGAAGCTGTTAGCCTGTTACTGGATATTGGGGCCATTTCAATAAGCTGTTTGCTTGTTTCTGGATATTGGGGCCAAAGCAAACTACTGATGGATGCTGTTTTGGAACAACTATAAAGAGTCTGATCCTCCATGTGCAATGAAAATAAATCTATTAAAGTAATGCCTCAGAAATTAATATGCCTTGCTTCAAGAATTGTTTAATGATGTTCAGACATCTGTTTTCTTGGTTTTTAAGTTGACGCTGCTATATAGGTTGATGAAACTGGATGATTGTGATTATGTACACAATATTTTTATTCCTGTCTAAATATGGTTTAAATTCCTTCTTAAACTGGTAATCTGTTGTTTCTGATACCCATTTTGTAAATCAATGGTGGCGCCTCCAATATAAACCTGAATTATTCAATCCTTTGATAAAATTACAGGTCTTCTAAAGATTTTCGAGATATGCATGATCTTATCATGCACACTTACTACTCTGATAGTGTTGACATGCGTGCGGATCACTTGGGCTTACACAAAGCATTATGTGTTCTGATGGGCTGGAACTATTCAAAGCCTCCTGACAACTCAAAGGCATATCAGTTATTATCTTCTGATGAAGCAGCAGCTAACCTGGACGATCTGATTTTATGGCCGCCTGTGGTGGTCATTCATAATACAATTACAGGAAAGGGTAGAGAGGGGCGCATGGAGGGGTTGGGGAACAAGGCAATGGATATTAAACTTAGAGGTATCATGTGCCCCTTCATTCTGTCATTTTTCATGCTATGCATTTGTCCCGTGTTATTCCCCTGCTGCCCTTTTTATTTATTTATTATTATTTTTAATATATATATATACACACACACACACTAGTAAGTGCTTTAATACTTTTGTTCATGCACTGGTTTTATTAAATTATTGTTGTATACTGTTGAACATCTCATAGAGGCATTCTCTATTCTCTTTATGACCTTTGATTCAATTTTAGGTATTTTTCATTCTCAATATCTTGAATATTTTCATTAGGAGTTTTCCTCGCATTGCAAGAGCAATTGGTTTCTTAATGGAGGAAGTTCTTTTTTTGCCCTTCTTCCCATGTTGTGTTACCTCTTTGGCGTTGGACACAAACTTGTTATTGTACTGTCATTTTGGTCATATGCTGCCTATATCTCGATTCTTTCACTATCTACAGTTAATTCACTGTATCGTCGTCGTCTTCTTTTGCCCTTCTTCCCATGTTGTATCGCCTTCTTGGCCTTGGACACCACTCTCATTTTGGTCATATGCTGCCTATATCTTGATTCTCTCACCATCTACAGTTAATTCACTGCATCGTCTTCTTTCGTCAATGAATTTCGTTTTCTCGAGAATTTCTGTACAATTCCTTCCTGGTTTATTATGGCTAATGTTTTTTTCGGTGGTTGTAAGACTCCTACTTGTACAATTTATGAAATGGAGTTATTTAATCTGCCCTTCCCCAGTCATCGTTTATTCTTTTCTAGTTTAGGAAGTTGCTGCTTTCTCAACTCATTGATACTTCGAACATTGGTGTGTGCAATCATGATCCACCCTTGAGTCACGAGTGAGTTGAATTGTCATAGCATTCGGAAGGAGAGTATAGGACCACTATCAACATTGTTTTTCTGAACAAGAACTCTCTTGCTCAATCCTGTTGGTATTCGTTAGAGGATTCACTGACCAGTTCGGAAGGTCCCCAATACGGCTGGCATAAAGTTAACCAATGGCTCCCTGGAAGAAAAACCTAATGGTTTTCATGAGCATTACATCTTTTATCCATACTGTGACATGCAGTCAACTAGTCCTGGTTACCCCAACAATGGGCTCCATGAATGAGAAACTGTTAATACATGCCTCTTGAATACTTTCTTTTTTCCCCTTTGGAATGTGGCCTCCTGAATACCCATAGTGTGCCTTGAACTTTCATATACTTTCTGCCCTTATAGCTAATGATGTAATAGATTTGTATAGACATTGAGTTCATTTGTTGAACTGAACTTTTTTGTAGGTTAGAGAAATGGATTCATATGACTATCATTAGTGATGAATTAGATAATAGTTTTTTGTCCTTTCAAGAGAAACATCATAATGAGGCTTTTGCAGAGGAGTTTTCATGTTTTCATAGTTTCTGCTCCATTCCCCTTTTCCTTTTTTCTTTCTTTATTTATTCTCTTAGTAAAAAGATTCACCATTTGTCTTGCAAAACTAACTTGTCATAATCAATATTGGTTTTCAAGACTGGCTGAAAAATATCTGGCTGTTTATATCTCAACTGCTGTTTTTCATAAATGAAAGCTTGCATTTCCCTTGGCACAATTCTACACCTTTTTGGACCATTGCTATCTATTTATGAAACTTACTGGGTCCATCTTAACCCCCAGTAAATATCATTTTCCAAGTGTGCTGATTATTAAGTGTTTTATGTTTCTTTTTAAAACTATTTATTAACTTATTTATACATTATTATTATTTACATGGTTGCAACTTGCGATTTGGGTGGGCAAGCTAAACTCTAGAGTTGATGAACCTGCCTCCTGCTTAACATGACTCTTAGTTAGATTTCAAGTGATTGGCCAACTTAACTTAAGGTGATTAAGTTTGGATTAGGTTGGGTTGGTTGGATTTTTCTTAGGTGAAGTAGAATGATTTTTGTTTGTGCCTTGTGCACTTTCGCTAAGCATCATCACCACCATCATAATTAGTGTTGTTACGTTACTGTCATTATTGTGGTTATTCTTAATGCTTATGTTATAAATCTTGATGTTTACGGGTAAGATGATAACCTAAAGGTGACTCAAGAAGTCATCTCTTATCTTGGATCTGAAATGTGTTGTACATAGATCAGGCTACATGTAAAAAAAGAACTGTAATGATATTAATTGTCGTGTTATATCACATAGATCAACTTACACCTCATAAAAAGAATGGCAACTATATTAATATTGGGGCTTCTAACTGTACTTGTCATGCAGCAGTAAGTATTGATGGCTTCTATTGAGTGTATTCATTGAGATATTTCAAAAAAATATTGATTTGAAGAAATATTCTACATGGGTTTGCTTTAGTTGCCAAATCTGTTGTTGCGAGTATGAGAGTATATTACATGGATGGGCACTGCATGGAATTTGACAAGTGAAGCGTGATAATATTCGAGACTATACAACCATGGGTTGCCCATAATTGTCGTTCAAAATTTTGTTTTTTCTACAACATTTTCAGTTGAGTACTTTAAAACTTTATTAATTAATATATTATTTTACTCATTCTATTTTTTACTGCTGCTCTGTTGTATATGATTTGCAATTAACTCATTTTGAGTTCTGATCCCAGAGATTCTCATAGAGGTTAAATTATAAGTATGAAAATATTGTACTTCGCCCATCTCGAGCCTGCTGTGTTGACGTTTCTTGTCTGATTTGTATAATAGACCAATATTTTGCTTAATTGCGAAAGTACCAATTTAGAAGATTTTAGATCCATTTATGTATTTCGACGAGAGTATTTGTCATAAATCTTATTGGCAGTGTAAGTTGCATTTCTATTTGGGATTATTTTCGCCTAAACAGCTATTGTTTCTACATAAATGGTTGTTGAAAGTTCTTCGACCGTTGTTATTGAAAGTAACATGCTCCCTTAAGGTTGCTTGGATTTGTGGTGTAAATTCATTACTGTGTAAGCTTTGTTAAGTTTCTGTTAAAGTGATGGAGAGACTTGTGTGAAATTGGGTTTATTTAATTTATTCATTTGCTCACCTACCTTTTGGTCATTTGCCAACATATTTTCTGTCATTTGTGTAGTTTTACCATTTGGTATTTAAATAGTTCCCTTATGTTATTGAAGTATGAATTATTAATTAATTATTTTTTTTAAACAACTTAGGCCATTGTTTCTGTACTTTCTACTCAGTTGTCTCTATGGAATTTGTTATACTGCTTATCATTGCTCTTATCGTTACTGAGTTTTTATTTTTATTTTTTCAACAAAGGATTAACCGATTGTTTAGGGATATAGAATAGTGTGTCCACTGTGTGAATTAACACATATGTTTCTTTGCGCGGTTGAATACAAGTTTATTTGGATATATCACTTTTCCGCTCTTTAAGTAGTTTTTCTTATTGCTAAATTTTGTCTATAGCATCTTTGGGAACATAGCTTTTGAGAGTCATAGTGATATAGTATGAAAACTTTTGGTACTTCCTCTAAACATCTTGTTGATAACATAGATTGGAGCCTCAGAAATTTTAGTAGTGTCGAGTGGCTCGATAGATCCTTCAAGGAGAATAAATCCAAGATGTAAAATTGAGATGGATAAGGATATAGCGCACCGACCTGGTAAGTTACGGTTTTTAGGACTAATGGAAAGTGGTGATGCCTGATCCAGCCAAGCTTAAGGAAAATTTTCAAAAAAAAAAGTGGAAATAGTAGTGAAATGCCACTTTCATAGCTTTAATCTGTAAGAAACAGAAATCCTATCCATTTAAGATGTCTCTTTCCATCATTAGTCTGGTGATTAATTTTATCAGATCATAGTTGCTAATAATTATTGCTAACATCCTCAGAGGGATCTGAAAAATTTCAATGAGACCACTTGCTAATAATTATTGCTAGCAGTATTGATTGCTAATTTTAACTCGAATTGGATAGTTTTACTTGGGGGTTGGAACTGTTAGTATACTGATATGGTGTTTCCTGAACGGGTCTTAAACCATAAAGGATTTGGCATCAGGTGAAGGATGGGGTTCAAGTTATGGGTGGAATCTACTATGTTGTAGTACTGGTTGATTGTAGAAAGATTGGGTTGAGACAAGTGAATCCATTATCACCTTTTGTTCTTTTCGATTGTTGTTATTCATGGTAGGTGGCTTGCTGAAGCAAAAAGTTTTGGGCATTGTTGAGTGGTTTGGGGCTTGTAGTGATGGATTAAAGTTGTCTTTGTTCCATTTTGGAGATACAGAATCTTTTCCGAGGGTGGACAATTTTATGTTTTTATCTAATTCTTTTCATTGTTTTTAAGCATTTATGAATTCTCTTTTTGTTGCACCACGTCCAAGCCTGACTATAGCAGGCAATTTCAACATTGAAGAGGTTAAGTTTAGTACTTTGATTGTACTTGGGTATGATAGCCTATACATGCATTTGCCTTCCTTCCTGGAGCCCCTAGAGGTATTGGAAGGAGATTGAAGTTTAATGTCAAGGCATTATCTAAAAAACAATAACACTAAGTACTGCATTGAGTTTTTTTTTTATTGTCAAAAATTCTGGAAGTGTCTTGCATGACTACTTTAGGTGGAGAATTCCTTGCGCAAAAAAAACAATGGGTGGTGAATTTTAATTATTTCATTGATTTTTTCTGGTTTTTGAAATTGCCATTAGTTTTTTGTTCGTTTCCTTTAATGGTATGGTTGTGTTTAAGATTCTATAATTTAGGACTATAGTTGCAACAGGGGGGGTTTTGTTTTGGCGGGTGTCGGTTGTTTGTTCAAGTGGATTCTTTGAAATGATGGGAATTTGTAGTCTGTCTGCTTTATGTTCAGTGTTTTGGTCCTTCTTTGTTGTACTTAACTTTTTCCCTGTGATTCTTGTCTCTCTGGTTAAATACTCAGTTCCTCGTGTTTGCAATGCTGTTTTCTATTCAGTGCAGTGTCCTTAAATTGCAGAATACAATTTTTTTTTTTTCAATTTATACAAGGTTCCAGCATGTGTTGATTGATTCTTGCTTGACCTGTATTAGAAATGGTTTGTACACTATTCGACTCTCATGGAAGACCTTGTATAAACTTTTTTTTTTTTGGGAGTTTTTGTTGGTAAAAAGCATTGGGCCAGTCTGGGATTTCTGCTTCGCAGGATCCAATGTTGTGATTTGGTGATTTTTAAGCTGCCGGGTTGGCTACCGTCAGACACAAATATTACAAAAACAAAAATGGACAGGTGGAACCAGAGATGATATGTTCCCACCATGATGTTTGTTTGACTTCCCTGTGCCACCACTATTTGATCCTTAAATTCTTACACATGTTTTTGCATCTCTTTTCTGACTCTCGCCTTTTTAGATCTTGGATTCGGTGGTGGCAAGTCGAAGTCCCTATATGGAAGAGATGGTCATCTGGGCGTTACTTTGGTTAAGTTTGCAGCTGACCAATCAGGACTGAAAGAGGCTGTGCGGCTGGCAGAATATTTTGAGAAAGACAATCATGGGCGTAGAGGTTGGACCCGCGTACAGTCCTTGACATCAGGAAAGGATGATGACAATAATCCAAACCTTGTTAAGGTGGATGAGAGGACCGGGGAAAAGAAGAGGGTCTTTTACGGTCATCTAGGAACTGTTTCTGATCTTGACATGGTTGACTCTGACACTAGGAAGAAGGTTTTGGTTGAGAGCAGAAGAGAATACAAGCCATCCAAGTAGGGTGTATGCTGGTGCATATTTTATTTATTATTGCCGTTTGGTCTGTGAAACACTTGCCCCTTCTTTTTCTTTTTCTTTTTATTTTTATTAATAGAAACTCAAAGTTGTTTCCTGAAATTTGATTGCTGGTAGCTTCTTATGCAAAGGAGTGGGCAGCACATCTGAATGCACGTTGTGATTATTGGGCATTTAATGATGTGTCTGGAATTTGATTTTAGGTTTTTGTCAGCTGAATTCTGTTCAATGAAGGTCAGATCAATTAGATATTCCTAATTTACTTTATTAGTCCTTGTTCTTCAACCACCGTACCTTCACCAAAATTAGGGCTATTGCTTAAATGACTGTTGCAGAGAAAAGTCTTACAGATGTAACCATTCTTGTAGCTGAAAATTCGTTTTGCATGATCCTTACAAGTTCTTCGGTGCTTTTCAGTAACAAGTACATCAAATGAGAAGGTATAATTTGTATTTTGTTTGGTTCCCTTTAGTTTAGAAGTTTAGAAGTATTTTGTGCAATGTCTTGGCGTGTCTCTGTGCTACATTAGGGTGGTAATATGTGGGAAGAGATGAAAATAAGTTTTTACTTAGGAGAGGCTTGAAGCGTATTTGAGGTTAAGCATTGTAGGTTCTAAGATTATTTGTGGATACCTTTCTTTGCAGTTTTGCCTGGGTAATTATTGAAGATTAGAAGCACTGCCGCCGCCTTAGATATTTTTGCCTGGGTAATTATTGAGTTCTTTTTCAAGTTTTTTTAGGAAGAGATTTTAATCATTTGAAATTCCCATCCTACTGCTTTCAAGTTGTTTTGGCACATTGTTTCCTGAGAGGGAAAATGGAAAAGTTATCTCTCACTCAGGTTTTGAAGATGTGGATGTGGATCCGGAGTTCGAAGGCAATTCTACCACTTCACATCAGAATTTTATTTTTCCTGCACGGTAGAAGTGAAAAATGGTGGAATGTTGGGGGTTTTAGTGTGTTGTTAACAACCAAAAGAATTTGGCTGTGGTTTGAAACTTAATGAAACTAATTTTTTTTAGTTTAGAGTATGTGAAATACTACTTAGGATTCCAACTTTTAAGTAACATTTAAATTGTTATCTGTTAGTTTTTTATTTTTTATTTTATTTTATAAATGTGCTATTGAAAATATTAAATTCTTTTTGTTTAGGGTTATAATTTAGCTGGGTACAAAGCTTAGCAAGAAATGGAGTACAATGAAATATCAATGAAGGCTTACCAAATTGTAATTATTATTTTTTTATTTTAATATCTTCAGTCGTTAATGTTGATGTTATTTGTGGGCTGCTTTTTTGAGCTATTGTGTAATCTTATCGCCTCCTTACATATTTCAATTTATATTTTTTTATACATTTTCAGAATTTCGTTTCATAAAAATTCGATACTCTTTTATCATAAATTTGGCCATATAATATTTTTAGAACTTTAGCTCGAAGCAAAGCTAGTTTAAAGATTGGAAGCAGGTTGTTGGATCAAATTAACAAGGCCGATTTCCAAAAACCAAAATTGTAATAAATGGACTGAGTTTTTGTAATTTATGCCATTTTCTTTTCTTGTATTTGTTGCAAGTATACTAATTTGATACAAATACGCTCGACTCACTACTTACCCCAAAAAAAAAAAAACTAAGTGACGGAGAGAAACTTATGATCATTCTTTGAGCAGTGATAGGAAAAGAAATGTTTTTTTAGTTAAATAGGAAAAGAAATGTTAAACTATAGGAAATCATATTTGGCAAGAAATTTTTTTCATAACAAATCACAAAATTTTTAGGGCCTGCGATGTGTTTTAAGTCGTTTTGTTACAGTGGTGTTTTGGATAAAAATTAGAATCATGTTATGATAACAAAAATTTGTTTTAGTTTTTCCGTTATAATATCAAAATGCACGATATCATTAATTAATATGAATTTTAAGTCCAAAAAAAAGAAAAAAAAAATTATAAAATATTCCAAACAAATATGTCTCAAATATGATATGGGTTTAAATTTAAATATTAATTTTAAAAAAACAATATAATAAATTTTTAGGTTAATTTTATTGATATCTCTTACTAAATATCACTCTTAAATATATTTTTTACAAACTTTCACACCCTAACGATTAATTGAGTAGTTTGGACACGTTATAAAATGACTTAAATATTTTTTAATTTTGTTAAAATAACTCTTTTGTCTAAATGATTAGATTAAAAGACTAAAATATTCCTAAAACTTTAAAAATTTACAAATTATATATATATATATATATATATATATATATATGTGTGTATATTCACACACACACATATATATATATATATATATACTCCTCTCTCTCTCCACCACCACCATTCTCTCTCTCCACAACAACAACCGCCACCACCATCACTATTCCTCTCCCTCCACCACAACCACCACCACCATCATTGTTCCTCTCTCTCCGCCGCCGAGATAGGTTTTGCTTGGAGGCCTTTAACGGTTAAAAGCACCTATTCTGCCGCTGCAATCGGTTTTGCTTTGACGGCCGGTCGGTGCGTCCTTCAGATTTCGGCGAAGGCAGCGTTTTCCCTGTGCTGAGAAATCCGCCTGAAAGCTTCCTCACTGTGCTCATCATGGAATCCCTAGCCACATCTACCTCGTCCACAATGGCAATCACTGGCAATAACACTCAAAGTTTGATGAACTATTAAAATCTATGAGCAATTGCTATATATACAAACATATTGAGCCACAAAAATCAAGAAGATAAAGCGTGAAGCTTCGTCTGATGTAAAAAATAGGGACAAGGAATTGGTATTTATATGTGCAATTAATGGAGCTTCATCTGATGTAAGAAATGGGTACAAGGTGTAAGATTATTTATTTAATTGTGGCCCACATGATTTGGACATGTAACATATTACTTGGTGGGTAAGTAAATAGATATCAATTAATATTATTTATTTTTGGTCAACTTATAATTACCTTTTTTGGTAATTACTTATTGGAGAAGTGTTTTCCTTTCTTATTCCTTACTTTGATGGAAAGTAGAATTATGTTACTATAAGAAAAACTGGTCCTCTCTCTGCTTTTATAAAAGTGCATATACTCCATGAATTATGTACAATTAATGATACAACACATAAAAGTTTTATGTGTGCAAAAGGTCAAGAGAGAGAAACCAGTTTTCATATTTGCCTGTTGATCAGAGTTGCAGATTAGTTCGTGGTTAAAGGATGTAGAAGTTGGATTTAATCTCAACAAGGTTTGATATCATGAATCCAGGTATTTATATCTAACTAGTATTTATTTATGCATTATAGATATGTGAAAATCATGAAGTTCTAAGATATGGGATTCATGTAAATTTGTGATTAATGGCTTAACACGAATTATTATAGTTTACATGTGGTATCAGAGCTAACGGTTTAGGAACTCATTATTTTTCATTAAAGTTGTATAAATAATATGTATAATTTTAAAATTAAATGATTGTATAATCCATTCTTTTAGAATCGTATTTTTAGATCAGTCCGTGTGGTTTTTGGGTTTAGGTACCTCAATTTCTGAGCCAAAATTGAATTATGAAAGTTGGTTACTGATACATAGTTTACATATGTGTAATAGTACAAATGTATGCATAATGTGTGTAAGACAAACAACTTCAATGCTTTAGGTTACTGATTTTCGTGCATGACTAATAAAAAACATTGAATTAAAATAATAATAATAATAATAACATTTGTCTTGCTATTGTTTTATAGAAACAATAAGTTGTGAAAGGATTAGAAAGACTCATTATTATTATTATTTAAAAATTAATAAATACATAAAGTTTGTGTATTTATTTATTTTATTAAAGAGGTTTAAATTATTGTTATAAGTATTTGTCCAATGATTTGAAGATTCTGATTTTAATTTAAAATAAATTAAAATTAAAGTTATTGAATACATAAAATAAATGTATTGATTTATTTATTTTAGGAATTTGAATTTCTAGAATAATTTGTGAGTTTAGAAATTTAATCTAATAAATTAGACATGTAAATAACTTATTGTTTCGTACCCAAACATACATACATATTGTAGAATCAATTTTAAATTGATTCAATTATGATCTTTAAGTCCGAAAATAAAATAATATATTTTATTATGTATATAAAATAAAAAGATATTTTTTATGAAATTTCGGACTATTAAGTTTTTGAGATCGAAGTTGCTTAAACTTTAATCGACAATTATTAGTATGTGTGTATAATGTTAAATGGGTAAATTAATAATTAATTAATTACTAGTTAATTTAATATTCATATTATGTGTGGGTTAGTAGCTACCAAAGTGGCCTAACCATAATGGTCGATGAATATTAATTTTAGTAGTAAATATAACTTAATGATGAATTAATTACTGTCTAATTTAATATTCATATTATGTGAAGATTGGTAGCTACTAAAGTGGCTCAATCATAATGATTGATGAATATTAATTTTTGTAATAGACATAATTAATCATAAATTAGTTATTATCTAATTTAATATTCATATTATGTAAAGGTTGGTAGCTACCAAAGTGGCCTAACCATAATAGTTGATGAATATTAATTTTAGTAGTAAACATAATTGCAATATTTCATGAATTATGATGCTTATAATTTTTTGTGATATTCATGAATATTGATTTTATTTAATTATGAGAAATAATTCCTCAAAGGGAATTGATTTTCAAGTGATTAAATAAAAATTAAAGGGTCGTATGTATTTTTTTTTTTATTAGGTAAATATAGGATATCCAAAGGTAACTTATTTGTTTAATTAAATAATGCATCACCAATAAAGGTATACATATAAATACATATAAGCATCATTATTAGTATTTTATAGTTGTCACCCAAAGGGGCACTATAGTTATATCTGTTCTGATTCTAAATATAACTAACTTCTCATAATGGAATGAGTAAGTTGAGTTCAAAATTTAGATATGTTAAATCTTGATTTAGCATTTTAAATTGAGAAACTTACCGTTATTACTGATAAAAACAGTGAGGAAGAAAAGATTCTCCATAAAGCTTGGGAGAGATCGAACAGATTAAGTATTATGGTTATGCGAATAATTGTTCCTCATAGTGATAGTGCTAAGGAATATTTGATTATAAGAATATTTTCGTGTTGTAGATAAATATCTAAAATGAAAATTATTAATTGATATAACTACTATGGATTTTTTGTTGTACTCGTACCATGTATGATCGTATTTTTAGATGACTAATGTTGCTGCAAAATTGAGAACCTTATGGATGATTGTGAATGGGAATTTTCTTATTCAATTTATTCTAAATTTCTTGTCTATTTAGTATGGGTCATTTCGAATTAACAGTATTAAGACAAGTGGAAAGTAATTTAATTGACCATTATGTTAATTTATGAGGAGACAAAACTTAAGTAGCAAGGTAATTATTATGTTCATCTGACGACTCAAGAAGTTAGAAAGAAATTTGGGAATAAGTCAGAAAAGGCAATAAGTGAGCAACACCCAAAATTAAAAGATTTAGGTCAATCTACTAAAAGAAAGTAATGTAATAATGAAAAAGTGTCATTAATGTATTGAACACTTTAAGAAAGATTACATGATATATAAAGAATGATTCGAAAAAGAAAAGTACGCTTTTGGCTTTTGTATATTGCGAATTACTTGTTGAAATTCTTTTTAATACATGATAGGTTAACTTAAGTACTAATATTTATGTTTCTAATATATGCAAGAATTTTTTATGGCCTAAACCACAAATTCAAATAAGAATTTCTTATTTATGATAAATGGGAAAAAGTTTTGTTGAAACCATTGTGACACTATGTTTAATGTTAGACAATGAATTTTATTTAAATTATTTTAAAATTTTTATATTTATTCAATTTCCCATAATTTGATTTTATTTCAAAAACTTTATGTTAATGGTTTTTCATTTAAATTTGGTAATGATATTTATTTAAGAAATTTTTATTTGTGAGTTATGGCATTATTGTTGATGATTTCTGTAAATTCAAATTTGATGGTTTATTTACTAAAATCCTTTTGATCTTGTATCATAATGTTAGAATTAAGCGTAACTCAATTAATAGAAAATTTATCTTTGGCATAAAAGACTAGGTCAATATCTAGTGAAATGTTAGGAAAATTAGTAAAGGATGTGATTCTTCTGAATCTAAACTTTACTGATTTTGATGTGTGTGTAGATTGTATTAAGGGCAGACAAACTAAACGCACAAAGAAATGAGCCACAATAAGTACATAGTTTCTTGAAATTATTTGTAGACCTTCTGATATTCCATCTTTTGGAGGAGAAAAATATTTTATTGCCTTTATAGTTAATTTTTCACGTTATGGATTTATCTATTTGTTGTATGAAAAATCTCAAACAGTGGGTACTCTTGAAGTATACATAAATGAGGTTGAAAAACAACTAGATAGAAAGTGAAAATCATAAGGTCATATAGAAGTGGTGAATATTATGTAAAGTATGATGAAACAGGTTAATACTCTAACCGTTTGTTAAACTCCTTGAAATGTATGCCATTTGTGTTCAATATACTTTGTTATACATGTCACAGCAGAAGCGTGTAACTGTAAGGCGTAATCGTACTCTTATGGAATTGGTTAGGAGTATTATAATACCCCGTATTTTTGGAAGTGATTATTTAAATTAATGTTATAATGTGTAGGTTTATTCTTCTTTTAATGTTAGATTATTAAATTAATTATTTGTGCGTGAAATGTTGATTATGTGCACTACGTATTATAATGCTAATTTTTATATTTTATTTATTTGTGTTTTATAATAATATAAAGTAAGAATAATAAATAATAAAATAATATTTTATCGTGCTCTGTATATTACGTTTTTATGTGCTCTACCTATCCTAAGGTTAGTATTTATATTTTATGGATTATGTTTTATAAAAAAATTAGAATATAAGAATAATAATAATATAATAATAATTAGAATATAATAAGAATATAATAATATTGTAGAAATAATAATTATAATATTATTAAGCCAAAGTCATGATATATGTTTGAAATGAAACTTTCATTTATGTGAAATAGAGGACTTTGGGGCATTA